ACTTGCGTTATTATTACAGTTTGACAGCTTAAAGAGTTTAAAAGATAAAAATATTTAAACTGAATTATATTTATTGGGAATGAACTGCATATTTACTATTTGTGTTGTCATGAGTGTATTATAATAATGAAAGATATTTGCAAAGCACTACAAAAACCAGCACATCAAGTTTTTGGTACCATTGTCGGGGAGTAACGGTAAATTACTTTATAATTTAGAACATTTTATTTTAACTGAAAAACTATTTGAAGTTTAATTAAATATTTTTATGTTTTAGTTAGTTTGTTTATTTTTATTGCTTATTGTTTTTGTGTTTGCGTAGTTTAAGATCGATAGGTTTAATACATTACAATTCAGAGTTAGAAAGAACTATTAGAAAAATTTAAAAACAACAAAAAAAGTTAGAAAATTTGAAAAAAATTGCTAAACAAAATTGCTACAAGCTTAATAATTTTGGAATTGAAAATGAACATCATCAAAGACCTTTAAAAGATTATGCTAATCCCACAATAGATGAAATTCATTTGAGTATACAAATCCCTGTTGCAGCTACCAATTCATTTTAGCTTAAATCTGCTATTATCCAAATGCCACAAAATAATCAGTTTAGGGGAACACCGACTGAAAATCCTAACTTACACCATGCTGGTTTTCTAGAATTATGCGCTACATTTAAATATGATGGATTGTTGAATGATGCTGTCAGACTTACACTTTTTCCTTTTTCATTAACGGATAAAGCTAAGATGTTGTTAAACTTGTTAACACGTAGATCTATCAGAACTTGGGGAGACTTATCACAAAAATTTTTATCTAAATATTTCCCACCAACGAAAATTGCTAAGCTTAGAAATGATATTACATATTTTTGTCAATTTGAAAGAGAATCAAGTTATGAAGTTTTGGAAAGATTTAACGATCTCCTTAGGAAGTTTCCACATCATGCATTGCCAGATTGATTATAATTCAAAATTTTTGTAATGGATTGGTTGGATCTCTTAGATCTATAATTGACGATGCTGCTAGTGGATCATTAATGTCAAAACCATTTGATGAAGCGTATTATTTAATTGAAGAGATGGCTATTAATAATTTTCAATAGCCCTCTGAAAGGGTAACTCCAAAAGAGTAGCTAGAATTCATGATTCTGATCAATATCTATGTTGGCTGCTCAAATTACTGTAATATAAAAAAAGATAGATCAATATGGAGTGAATTATTCTTAGCTTTATGTGATTTGGGAGCTAGTATTAATCTTATGTCTCTGGGTTTAGGAAAAATTTCACCTACTACTGTAACTCTTTAGTTAGCTGATTGTTTGACTACCTATCCTATTGGAGTTATAGAAGATGTTTTGGTAAAGGTTGATAAATTTATCTTTCCTGTGGATTTTATTGTGTTAGATATGAAAAAAGAAAATGAAATTTCTATCATTTTAGGAAGACCATTTCTTGGAACTAGCAGAGCTTTGATAGATGTGTAGAAATGACAATTAATAATAAGAGTTAGCAATCAAGAAGCCATATTTAATATTGCAAACACAATAAGATATCCAACAAAAAGAAGAAAGGATGAATGCTTCAAAATGAAAATTAATGATTATTTTACAGAGACATTTGAAAAGAAAATAGAAGAATAATATTTAGAGTATAAGAATGAGTATATAGTTCAAGATGAATCTATGGAAGTGAGTAATGAAGAATTGGATTATGTTTAGGAACAATTTGAATGGTTAGATCCTGCAGATGATAATAAGAATTTGATTTCCTTGATTGTAAAACCTCTTGACTAGAAATGAAAACATTTCCTACACATTTAAAATATGACTTTTTAGGAGATTTATCCACATTATCTATTATTGTATCCTCAGAATTAACTGAAGCATAAGAACGAAAGTTGCTGGAAACATTAAGAAGATACAAGAAAGCCTTTAGATGGATGTTGGCTGATATTAAGGGAATCAACCCTTAGATTTGTATGCACAGAATTTTATTGGAAGAACATCATGAACCAAATGCTTATACTTAAACGAGATTAAACCTGATGATGAAAGAAGTTGTTAAGAAAGGGATTTTAAAATCGTTAGATGAGGGAATAATATATCCTATTTCAGATAGTGCTTGAGTGAGTCTAGTTCACTGCGTTCCTAAGAAAGGGGGTGTGACTGTTGTGACAAATGAGAAGAATGAATTAATACCAACAAGAAAAGTCATTGGTTGGCACATCTACATTAATTATAGAAAATTAAATTTGACCACCAGGAAAGATCTCTTTCCTTCACCCTTTGTGGACCAGATGTTGGATAGGCTACCTGAGCACAAATATTTTCTCTTTCTAAATAGATATACTCACTATCATCAAATACCGATTGCTCCAAAGTATCAAGAGAAGACAACATTTACTAGTCCTTATGGTACTTTCACTTTTTAACGAATGCCCTTTGGTTTATGTAATGTACCTGCAACATTTCAAAGATGTATGGTGTTAGTTTTCAGTAATCTAATTGAAAAAGGGATAAAAGTCTTTATGGATGATTTTTTTGTGTTTGAAACTTCATTTAAAATATGTCTAAATCAATTAGAGATAGTTCTAGAATGATAAAAAAAAGATGAATTTAGTATTAAACTGGGAAAAATATCAATTTATGGTTATAGGAGGAATTTTGCTTGGGCATAAAATTTTAGAAAATGACATGACGATAGATCCGTGAAAAATTCAAGTTTACAAGCGATATATTAAAGATTTTTCAAAAATTACAAAGCCTTTATGCAATCTTTTGGAAAAATATACAAAATTTGATTTTAATCAAGAGTGCCATGATGCCTTTGAAAAATTGAAGGAAAAATTAGTTACTGCTCTTCTAATTATTTCATGTGATTTAGAGAAACCATTCGAGCTAATGTGTGATGCAAGTGACTATGCAATTAGAGCTCTTTTAGGGCAGAGATATGACAAAATTTTGAAAGTCATATACTATGCTAGTAAAACTTTAAATGATGCTCAAATTAATTATACCACCACTGAAAGAGCTATTAGCTATTTTTTATGATTTTGATAAGTTTAGATCATAGATAACTGGAGAAAAATGTGTTGTGCATACAGACCACTCTGCTATAAAATAGTTGATGCAAAAGAAGGACGTGAAATGAAGATTAATTAGATGGTACTTCTGATGCAAGAATTCTATTTTGTGGTAGTAGATAGGAAAGGATCTGATAATCAAATAGCTGATCATTTATCTAGGCTGAAACAAGAAGAAACATTTGATCTTGAAAGATGAATTAATGAAACTTTTTTTGATGAACAACCTTATACTCTTAAAGAGTGGGAAATATTGTGTTATGTTAATATTGTGAACCTACATTATTAGTGGTATTTTAACATATGGATTGCTTTACCTTATGGGTTGACAAAACAACAAGAGAAGAAGTTTATTCACAATGCAAAATTTTACTTTTGGGATGACCCATATTTATACAAACAATGCAAGGATTTAGTTTTGCGGAGATGTGTACCTTATAGAGAAATTTAGAAATTTATCGAAAATTGTCATGATTATGAATTTGGAGGTCATTTTGGGAATGATAGAACTATTCATAAAATTTTACAATCTAGATTTTATTGGCCTACTCTATTTAGAAATGTTAATTTATAAATAAAAGCATGTGATCATTGTTAGAGAGTAGGTAATATTTTAAAAAGAAATGAAACACCTCTAAATTTTAATTTAGAAATTGAAATTTTTGATGCATGAGAATTGGATTTTATGGGACCATTTATACCTTCATTCGGAAATATTTATATATTGATTACAGTGGACTATATTTTTGTTGGCACTAAAAAATTGAGGAGTTGCCCGTTGGAAGTTGTCGATTATCGGAATCGAAATCCCGTCACTCGCTTGAAAAAGACATTTAATTTATATCTATATGTATATATATATAAGTGCTCTATTTTAGTTAATCACCATCAAATTTTGCATATGAGCATTAGTACTGATGGCATGGATGGATTTGCTTCTTTTGTTTATGCAGGAGGTTCCAAAACTGCAAGAATTGAGCTGTGGGAGACACGTCAAAACATCCAAGACTCCATTGACAAAGCTTGGATTATGTGAGGGGATTTTAATTGGATTTTATCTCTTGCTAAAAGGAAGGGGGGGCAGAACTCCCAATCCTGTCGCTATATCTAATTTTAATGACAACATTCAAAAAACTGGTTTATTTGACCTTGGATTTAGTGGCCCTGCCTTCACCTGGAGAAGGAAGAATATGTGGGAAAGACTAGATAGAGTCTTTGCTAATGACCACTGGATTCAAAACTTCTTGCAGACTAATATCAATCATTTAAGCCTTGCTGGATCTGATCACAGGCCTTTGGTGATCACCATTGGCCCTAATAGCAGCTGTCAGAAGAGTACTTTTAGGTACTTGAATGTTTGGTCACAACATAAGGATTTCTTGCAAATTATAAAAGATAATTGGAAGAATGATTCACACCCTGACCCCTTCATCCGCTTATGGCAAAAGCAGAAAAAGGTGGGAAAAGCTCTCAAACAGTGGTGTTGAAATACTTTTGGGGATTTGCTGAAGATTGTGGAAAAGGTTGAAAAGGAGTTGCTTGATCTGGAGGTGGAGCACAACAAAGGTAATACTGATGAAATTGCTCTTTTAGAGGCTAATGAGAGAGTTCTAACTGCTCTAAACTGGCAAGACCAGTTCCTAAAGCAAAAAGCTGCCAAGACTAAATTTACTGAAGGGGATAGAAATACAAAATTTTACCATGCCTGCATTAATTACCAGAGAAAGTGCAACACTATTCATTGCATTAAAGATCAAAATGGTACTTGGCTCGGGAAGGAGGAGGAGATTGCTAAAAGTGTTGTCTTATACTGCCAAAACCTCATGAATGAGCACAAAACTGATAGAGACCACATAGAGAAAACTTTGTTTTCTGAAAGCAGTCAGTACACAACCCACTTAAATATGACAGACATACCTTAGGAGAAGGAGATTCAAAGAGTTTTACAGTCCATAGATAGTAGTAAATCAGCTGGCCCTGAAGGCTTCACTGCAGACTTCTACAAAAAATCCTTGGGAGTAATTAAGGTGGAGGTAATTCAAGCTATTCAACATTTTTTTAAAGGACACTCTCTCCCTAACTATTTCAGTTCTTCCTCTATTGTTTTCATTCCTAAGACTTCTATTAAAAATTGCTGGAGTCAGTTCAGAACTCTGAGTCTTACCAATGTAATCAGTAAGATTGTAAGTAAAATTCTGGTGAGCAGACTTTAGCCGGTCCTACCTTAGCTGATTAGCATAAATCAAGCCGCATTTGTGAAAGGGAGAAGTATAGGGGACCAACTTTTATTAGCTCAAGAACTGTTATAGGACTTGGAGAGACCTTGCAGAGGAGGCAATGTGATCTATAAGCTTGATTTAGAGAAGTCATATGATATGGTAAACTGGGATTTCATTATGGAATGTTTGGAGGCAAGAGGATTCTCTAAGGAGTTCTTCCAGACCATTAAAAAATGGCTAGAGGCTAATGCCAATTCTGTTTTCATAAATGGGAAAGCATATGGGTTTTTCAAAACAATTAGCGGTCTTAAACAAGGACATCCTCTTCCCCCAACTATTTTTATTCTGGTTCTGGATTACTTATCAAGACTCATTGATGGCCAGGAGGAAAAGAAAAGCTTCAATGCCTATCATAATAGAGCTAAGATGGACATTAGTCACCTTGTTTATGCTGATGGCATTCTCATTTTCACTAGGGCAACAAATGCAACTACTAGGTACCTTGATGAGTGCTTGAATAAGTTTCAACAGGTGTCTGGGCTGAACGTTAATAAAGACAAGTGTCAGATCCTTGCCAGTAAGAGAGTTCCAATATCACTCAGGCAGTGGTTGTCATACTTCATGGGGTTCTCATCTATGAGCGTTTCTTTTAAATATCTGGGCACTCAACTAGTTA